TGCTGAGCTGTCAAGAGCTGCTGGTGTGTGGCTGGACTCTCTGTTAAAATATTTGAGATTAGAGAGCCCAGGTTTTGTATTTACCCGAACTGTGAGGTAGCCGGCATGGGAACGGCTAGTCACGGACAGAAGGAGAATGCAGGCCTGGGCAGATGGTGGCATCATGCATTCACAGACCAGGCAGGTGGACCCACCTGTACACAATCTCGTACTTCCCTTTGTTCTTCAGAGTCAGCACTTGCTTTGCATCATCCAGGACCTTAAGGATTCCAAAATCCACGCTGCCATTGGTACCTGCAGAAAACCCACAGAGCGAGGTAAGAAATGGTGAATATTTGTGAGCTGCTGTAGGCTACACCAGGTGATAAGATACATATTTGGAGTTCTCAGGCGGCACACAACCCTTCTCAGCAGGTTTCCCTTCTTGGAAGTTTTCTCCAGCTACTTCGCTGCCCTTGCTCTTCTTACTTGGAGAGCATCTGCAGGGGTTAGCAGCTAAGGAGCTCGGTTTCCATCTCCTTGCTTCCAAGCACAGATCCAACAACTCCATGTGCCGCGCTGAGCCTTCAGGATGCCAGTTGCCATCCGTGCCATGCTTGCATGCTATCCCATCCCATCCCATCCCATCCCATCCCATCCCATCCCATCCCATCCCATCCCATCCCATCTGCTTTGGTTGCCCATCTGCCAAGGCAATGCAATGCACCCGGGCGACTTTGTTTTGGGGTCATCCACTGACCTTTAGAAATGCTGATGCTCAGAGCAACATCGTAGGCCTCCGCAAGGATTTGGATATTTTCAATCTGAACAATCCCCAGGACGTTTTCTGCATCTGAAACCTGAGGCGGCGAGAAACAACCACTGCTCAGACCATTCTCCTAAATTCTTTTGGTAGGCAACATACGAGTCCTTGTCTCTGCCAGCTGCTTCCACCATGACCTCCCCTGCTTGACAAGCATTTGTGACTCCCAAGCTTTCCTAACCTGTTCATCTCACGGGCTGACCCAGCGGGATTCTGCTGCAGTAAGAAACCCTATCAGCCCAGCTCTTCACTCCCACAGCAGGGAACGCTGCTGCTAAAGCACCCTGGGAGGCACACTGAACTAAAAGCAACCACAAGAAGTGTGAGTCCCAGAGCAGGTGGCATTGACGATCAACCCTCTCCTCTTAAATCACCCAGCACCCTCACTGAAATGCAGCCCCTAAACCACAGGGAGCAAAATCCCAGGGCGAGAGCTTGTTGCTCTGTGTTAAGAGCCCCAGGCAGACTCCAGGATGGGTGCAGGGAGCACACCGAAGTCCGGACAACCGAGCAACAGCATTCAACCACGCACAGCAGCAAGGCGGTTGTAGTACGGGCTCAAGACGCAGCCTCATAACCCAGGCGTAAGCCCCGCGGAGGCAGCGGCTGGTCATCGGGGGTGACGTGGATGCTCAGGGATGCACCGCGTCTTCTGGTGAACCCGGTTTGAGGCAGCAGAAGTTGGGGTCGTAGCACCCTTGTGTCTGTCAGGTACACCTCTCCCTGGCTCCACAATATACTTGGCCCCATGAAGCTCAGCTGCAAGAGCACCCTGGCAGTCACTTAGTTTCCAAAACGTTATCCTTCAGGGAGAGTCCCTTGCTGCTAAGGGCACGGCCCCCCGGCAACGCGGGTAGAAAGGAATAAGGAATCTCATGAAGGCTCATCCTTTTGCCCTCTTTGCAGGGTACCCTTCAAGCACAGTCTCCGTCCCTAAGAGCACAGGGCTGATCACTCTGCCCTGCTCTGCTGGGGAGGGCACAGTCCCCCTCACCTCTAGTCGGATCGTCTTCTTAATGCTGAGAGCCTTCGTGGCCTTGAAATATAGATGCACGCCAAACTCTGTGCGGGGACCAACAACGCCCGCATCTTGCGACACGGAGAAGTCCTCGCCGAGGTTTTCCAGCCCACTGAGCCGCCACAGCACAGGCAGTGGGGTGCTGTTTCGCAGGACCAGGGTCTTGCTGTCCCTCCTGTAGAGGCAGGAAGACACTCAGCACCGGTTGCTCGGCGGTCATGCTAGCCTTGCAACTGAATGCAACTTGGAGCAGCCCTATCCACGCATATGAAGCCATAGTTAAACGTTTTCTCTACGTCACAAGCCTGAGACGTGAGGTCCTTGGGGGAGACGCTGGTGTTAGAAGTGTATCTAACAGAAGGGAGATAAGGAGGAGCAACTGGACTGCTCTCTGAACCAGCAGATGAGATACAAATGCATCGAGATGCCCACCGCACAGCATTGCTGGGGGGCTATGGAGCTCGTGGCTATTATAGGATATCGAAGCCAGCGAGGAACGGTGAGCAAGAGACTGGGAATCGCTGGGAGAAAGAGGGATGCTAGCCCAGCCTCCAATCTGAGGGGTCACACAGCCAGCAAGAGAAGCAGAAGGGGAACTTGCTGACAGCTCTCGTCCCCGGCTGACCTGTGCAGAAGCAGCTTGTCGAAATGCACCTGCTTGGGGCTGACCCCCAGCTCCACCTGCACCCCCTGGCAGCACAGGCGGAAGACCACCGGCTCTGGGTTCTCCCGAATGCAGCAGACGAGCTTGTCTTCCATGAGGCCAGCTGAAGTGGGGTACGCCCAAATGCTCAGCTCCTAGCGCCGTTCCCGCAAAAAGAAATACGGAAGAGCATCGGGTGAGCAGGAGGAATGGCTCCTGGGCGCTTCTACTGGTGCCTGCCCTACCTGCCCGCCTCCTACCTGCTTCTCGTTAGGTTTCAGCCTCATGCTGGGAGGGTCTAAAAGGAACGTGTCCGCTTTGAGATCGCGCTCAAAGGAGAAATGCACCTCTGCTTCCAAGGGGGTGACGTTGAGGATGGTTATCTTCTCGCAGTTGCCGGGATAGTGCAGCGCCTTGTACCTGTCCACAAAAGGGGAAAAGGCTGCGGAGGAGACCCCGGGACCGTCATCTTTATCACACGAGGAAGGCACTGTGCCCTGGCAGCGGGAGGCTGCACTGGAAGACCCCGGTCCAACAAGCAGGCTAAGAAAAAGGATCTCTTTCAGGGGCACGCTGCATGGCATGTGCGTTCATCCTTGCATTACTTTGATGTCTGCCCCTGTGCCTGGTGCCTCCATCTCAGAAGCGTGACTATGTACAGGCCACACAAATATAGAGCGTTTCACAAAATATAAATTCAAAGGTGCCTGGAAAAATAAAAGTACCCTGGGCACAAGGGTTCTTCCCCCTTCTTTGTTGGGTTTCCTTCCCTGCAGGGTATAAAAAAAATGCTTTTGAAAAGAGGTTTTAAAAATAGTTTAGCTTATCCCTTTCAAAAAAGTCATGAGATTGCCATGTATTTCATGGGTTAGCTCCAAGTCTCAGGGAAGGAAATAGAAAGGATTAATTCCCAAGAGGAATGCTAAATTTAACAAATGTCCCTTCTCTCAGCTGTGGAACAGAATTTGGAGTTAAAGGGTTAAAAAAGCGAACAGAAACCTGAGACCATTCATCAGCCTGGCTAAAGATCCTCTTTTGTTTTTTAAACTGCCCTCTTTTGTTTTTTAAACTGCTTTGATTTAATTTCCTTGGGTTGTCAAAATACCACTAGCTCTCTAGAGCTCCCATCAAGACAAGAACTTCATTTCTAACTCTAAAAAAAAAAAAAAAAAGCAATGTTAAAAATAGAAATATGCCAGCAGCTACAATGACAACTTTTTTAGGCAGACTTTATCCAGCAGTGAGGATCAGGAAAATGTAAACCCCATTTTTATTCCTCTGCAGGTTCCCTCCCAACACACACATTGGCAGGTCAAATCTTACTAATATTACAGATTAATGAATGGTTTATAAAACCATCAGCAGAATAATTGTTCATTCAGTCTACCCGTAGAGCTCAAAGCGCTTCAAAAAAGCACCATAAAGTTCATCTCATCGGTGGTGAAGCTGAGATGTGGAGGGGGGGACACAAGTTGCCCCAAGTCACCTTCAGGCTGGAAGCAGCATGTGGCTCTGGCCACCAAGGCACCCACCGGGTAGGAAGATCATCTCTCTCTCTCCCCAGCTCCTCCAAGACTTACGTGCCTGTTATCTCCTCAAGTTCACGCATCCGTGGCCCTTCAAACCTGTGTATCTCCCAGGTCTCTGCCTGGGCCTGCCCTGAATTGCGCCACTGGGACAGCGTGTCTCCAAGCGTGCCCATGAAAGCACGAGGCCCTGGAGATCTCATCCCAACACCTCACTCTGAGCAGGCAGCACATCAGGATGCTCACTCGGGGCGGGGAGCACGTACCAGTCTCTTGACTTCCCACACAAGAGGGGTCCAAAGTGGAATACACCCGTGTTCATGACATACTGCTTGAAGATGATGTCATCATCCGCCTTGCTCTTCCTCCAGTGAGGAAACACCAGCCTGGGGAGAGAAAATGGGAAACGAGGCGCTGTGAGATGCTCCAAGTGGAAAACCTGGTCAGAAAGCCATAACCCTTATTGGTGGCTGAGGTACCAGTACTGCTTCCCAACTCCAAGCACGGGAGAAGATGCTGGGCTGCTCAGGCAGCACGCCCTGCCCAAGCCAGAAGGTCACAGGGTACAAGGGACAGCCCTGGTTCTGAGTTTAGGGGGAGGTAGCGTGGGAGGCTCCCATGGGCCAGCCTTACCGTGGGTCCTGGCTGATGGTGGGATACAGGCAGGTGCCCCTGCAGTGCAGCTGGTACAGACGGTTTGTCCCCAGGACCTCAAAATGCAGCGTCTGATCAAACTGGCCCAGCACCGTGGAGCTGAAGTGGACCTTCAGTTCCACCTCACCACGGGCAGGCACTATCCACCGGCAGCTGCTCAGCCTGGCAATTAAAGAGGAGGTCTTCAGACATTGCTAACGAGCAAATGAGACAAGGAGGAGGGTCATGGACACTCGCCATCCCATGGAGGTGCCAGCAGAGGGACAATGCAGAGCTGGGGATGATGGACCTCGTTTGGCGAGATGGCCATGAAGCAGAGGGATCACCTCATCCCTCACAGCTCACCTGATGGATCTCCTTGGGGATGGGACCCTGTCCATGCCACTTTGGTCCACCTTAGGGGGACGTGTGGGTGCTCCCGTGCCTGGCCCCTGGAGACTTATCCTGCCCCGGCCGGAGCTCCGCTTCTCCCTCGCAGCCTCCTGGCTGCCCGTGGCCTTCTCCTTCCTCGACCGGCCCCTGGTTGGGGTGACCTGCTGCTCTGACATCTTCGCACCAAGGGGAGAGAGAAAAGGGAGAGAGGTGAGCCCTGCCCTGAGACATCCCCATCCTGGAAGAAAGCTGCGGGTCTGATAACAAACAGGAGAAAGAATAAAGAAGTAACCAGCATCCACCGGTTTCATATTTGCCCAGGAACTGGGATTTCCTTATCGGACTCTGTTTTGCCTACGACACCTCTCCTCGCCCAGGACCCCTCCTCACCCAGGACCCTCTCTTCAAGGGAAGTTGAGGGCTTTAGGTGATTTTTTCTTTTGTCTTACAGAACCGCCCTATGTCTCAAGCAGAGCTCTCTCTTTTGGACAGACAAAAAAAAGATGCCTGCAGACCCAGAGCCCGTCATGTTCTTCACTCCCCTTCCATAGTGATCCCTTCCATCCGCCCCCCCCACGCCCCCATCCGGCCTGGCCCCTGCCCTGGCACCTTCACTGCGGACACGACGGGGGCATCCACGAGACTTTCGGTATCCTTCTTTTCATCTTCTGCAGTGGCACCTTCTGGCACAACAAAGACGAAGTGCTTGAGGGCTTCTCCTGCTGCGGGGGCCATCCGCTTCTCCGGGTAGCGGATCACAGAATAAAAAGCGGTAGGGGGAATGGGAGGCCCTGAGGGACCCAGTCCCAGGCCATCCAGGACTTAAAGCGTAAGAGAAAACCCCGTTTATACTCCCGTCATCCCTTCATCCTCACACTCCTTCCTTACAGGCACTGAGCTTTTGGCAATGGTTTTTTTTTATTTATATGGAGTGCAGTGGGTTTTTATGCCCAGCGGGGTGGACAGGCTCCAGAGCAGTACCAGGACCTACAAGTGGGACCTAGAGAGAAACCTCTCCCTGGAGTGACTCAGCTGAAGGAAACAATGACTGTGAGCTGCCCTGCCCTGGGACCATTTTTAATGATTTCCAGACTGGGAAACTCTCTGAACGGACAGGATGCTTGAACAGAGAGCGCTCCCTCCTTCCACCCGTCTGAGGGATGCTGAGAACTTCCCCAGCCACGTGGCTGCCGCAGAGCTGTTGTGGATCATCATCAGTGGCCTGGGCAAGGCTCTGTGCCATTGTCACCTGGCGGGACACACTGCACCAGGGCCCGGGTCATGGCAGGTTCAGCAGCTGAGCCTCGCGGGGCTTTACCTGCTCTGCCGCTGGCAGCTTGCCGCTCTCCAGGATCCTCCTAGTCACATCTTCTGAGCTCAGCACCTGGATGTCCAAGCAGGGCACCCCTACATCCTGGCCTCTGGCTGACCCTTCTGCACCTTCCCCTTCCAGCCGAGATAACTTGGAGTCCTCAAGTGCCTTCAGTTTTTCCAGCCGCTCCTTCTCCAGGCGTTCTTTCTCCGCACGCTCCTTCTCCAGCCTCTCCTGACGCTCCTTCTCTTTGTCCTTCCGGCTCCTGCGGCTGGATAAATGCTGGCGCTGGTCTTCTGCTTGGTGCCACACCTCCTCTTGGTTCAGAGGGGAGAGCAGGATACCCTGAAACCTGTCCCAGGATGACAAAATATGCGCGACATCCTTCTGCGATGCCTCGTAGATCTTGAACCTCAGGGCCAAGTTCTTCTCGCTGTCACTCTGGGCCTCGTTTTTGGTTTCCTCCTTTTCTGGCTCTGCGGGTCGCACAACCACCACCGGGCAGGGATCCGTCAGGGCAACCCTGCTCTGCTTTTTCTTATCTTCCTTGTCACCTGCAACAGAGTCTGGGTGCTCCTTGACAGATCCCTTCTTGTCTACCCCCTCGGTGACATCCGACCGGTTGCTGGTGGACACGTTGGTGTTGCTGGATGTGTTCGTGTTCTGGGCAGAAGGAGGAGGAAAAAGCAGTGAGCGTTTCAAAGCACCAACTCAAATGCTGCAGGACAGCGATGATCTTTGCAATAGCACCCTGAGCCTCATCCAAGACCTGTGCTAGGTACTCTACAAATCCCAATTCAGAACACAGCTGGTACCCAGTTTAGCTCAACTGAAACCAAACTCCCTGGTGCCAGACTGATGGGGAGACCCGCAAACCAGCTGAGAAACAGAACAGCTTCCCAAACCAAACAGGGAACTTAAGACACCTTCTTACTCCTGGGCAGTCCTCCGGGCTCATTTCTGGCGTGCTGAGCATCCCCGTGGCTGGCTGACTCTTTGGGAAGTCTGGTTGCTAATGAATACCTAAGGCCTGGTGGTATCTCCTGCCGGACGTGTAGGAAAAGACACCACAGCCCAGAGGGATCATGGCTCAGAGGTCTAAGTCACATGCAAAGTGGGGAGAAACACTGGACTGAAACTATCTAGGGCTTCACAGTGAATGTATGGGGTTATGTGAAGCCATGACTCAAAGGCAGCATGATCCTAGAAGAGCAGCTCTCCTACAAACCCATGGGAAAACAGATCACCCATGGGCGAAGCAGCAGCATGATCCAACACCAGCTGCTGTCTCCAGCACAGCCCCACGTGTTACTCACGGCCAGGTACGCATCCCCAGCACCGCGTGTGGCTGCTGGCTTCTCGGGGAATGGTACAACTCAGCGGGAAGGTCCCCAGGGCTTTTACTCATCTCTATAAACACAGCCACCCACCTGCCTGACTCCAGGCTGGCTTTTCTTCCCTGAAGCATTATCTTTGTCTTTTCCAAGCTCTCTCTTCCCCCGCTTAGACTTCTTCTTCAGCTCTTCTTCCTCCTTCAAGCGTTCTAGCTCCCGCCGGTGCTTTTCCTCAAGCTCTCGAGCCAGCTGCTCCATCTCCCTTCAGCAAGCCAAACAGAAAACATCCCTGAGAGTCACCGCCAGAAATTGGAGCGCGCTGCAATCCCAGCTGGTCCTGCGCTTCATTGACCCTGAGGCCAGATAGAACTGTCAGACCAACTCCATAGACTTCCCTCAACCTGGGGAGGCTGGGAACATCCAAACTAAGGAAAGGTGGGACGGGACCTCCAGGGCCAGCCAAATCTAGGCTTTGCTGTCATAAGGTCTCAATTGTGCTGCTTCTCCAATAAGGTCCACCTGGACACCTCCGGCACGCTGCCGAAGACCGAGCCACCATCTCTCCACACTTGTGCCTGAAGCCCTCTCTTGATTTCCCAGTGTAAACCAGCTCGTAAATCACTAACACCTACTTATCCCTGCTCCAATACTCACTTGGCTTATCCAGCCCTTCTTCTCCCTGGGCATAGCCTGCTCCTTAGCGAGAATAATCATATCAATCAGAAAGCAAAGGCTGCAGTAACTCCCCTCCTGCAAAACAGGCTCTAAACAACCAGGTTTCCTGCTGGAACCCAGTCGCAAACCATGGGAAACTTGTGCTGTCTGTCCTGGAAATCATGGTTTGAAGCAGCCCTAGTGACCTCCTCCCAGGGAAACAAACTTCAGCCTGGGCTGAAAGAAGTGCTGAAACACACACTCGCTTTAAGCAGGTGTCCCCCCCCCAGTTTCAGGCAGGGATTAATACAGGCTTACACTTATCCTATGCATCCTCCTGAACACGGCTGCTTTGCTGGATCAGAGCTTCTCCCAGGCTCACCTGCTGCTGCTGCAGCTGAAGGTGAGCCTAAGAGACACCAGCTTTTGCGGCCGGGGTCACTCAAGTAAGGAAAACCCTGGGAGATCAGCATTGCAGGGACTTCACCTACAGCAGGACTGGTATCTAAACCAAGCCAGCACAGCTGCGCCTCACACCAATCCACGCCACAACCCCTCTGGTTTGGTGAAGAAGGGAGATGAAGAAAATGAGAATCAAAATAATTAACTTAGAGACACTTCTAAGTGCAGTGGCAAGGCGAGCACAGAGCCCAGCTCCCTGCATCTCACCAGAAGAAGGTCCTTCCTCCCTTGGGAACCAGGGAGGTGGAACTGGCCATCCTTGGGCCGCTTGTAATAGACACTTTTGGCCTTTGCTCTGTAACCCCTCTGAGCTCAACCCAGGTCTCTGGAGCAGGGAAACCCTTCAGGGACACTGTCCTGGGGAGTTACCCATGGAAGGCTTACAGACCTCTTCTTCCTCTCACGCTGGACTTGTCGTATATTGTTATTAAACTGAGCTTTCTGCTCCTCAGTGAGGGCATCATACTCTTCCTCATCCATCTCCCAGAGACGTGCTCTCTCCCTCCTGGCAGCTTCTTCCTGCTCCCGTCCTTCAGCACAGACCAGAGGAGAAACCGTTATCGACGGCAAGCAGAGCTTGCTGTTCTGGGTGAGCTGCGAGGATTCACAACTCTGCCCCGACCCAGCCTGTCATCCTGCCAGGAGATACTGGGGAGCCCATATCCCTGCTCCAAAATTCAGATAATCCCCTAAACTCTCGGCGGTCAGCGAGTTCCCGTGCCTTGCCTGGCTCACATGCACCGGCGCTGTGGACAGCTAGCCGGTGGTTAGTTATTGAGCCACAACAGCTTGCACTTGTGCCCAAGCTTTCATGTTGGAGACTAAGGTAAGCCTTACAGCCTCAGCTCTGCTGTATTTTAAGCAACCGTGAGCCGAGTGCTGGCTACACTGAGGCAGAAGGTGGAAGGATTAACAAAAACATTTCTTACAAGCTCTGCCGGTAACCCAGATACACGTGGATAAGGCTGAGGGCTTGAGAGAGATTTGAGAGGTACAGAGATGATGAATCTTACCTTCCTGCTCTTTTGCGGCTGTCTCCCTGGCTTTCAAAGCAGCATAATCCTGGAACAGGTTCACAAAATAGATGTAAGGCCGATTTCTGACAGCTTTGAGCAAGCAGAGGAGAGCAGATGCCGTGTTGCGTGCAAAGAGGGTCTCCAGGCCATCAAACACCACTCCCTGGTAGCAGTCACTCAACTGCAAATAAAGTTGAAAAGGAAGAGAAAGTCAGCTGTCGCACGCAGTGGGCTCTCAGCTAGTCAGTAAACCCAAATGTCAAAGGACACCAGCCATTGCTGTTCCAAGTGCAGCAACACAGACAACTCGGCTCTGATCCTTCCCTGCACTCTGCCAACTTATGGCATCTGCAGCTTCACCCAAGGATCCCTGCACGCAGCCTAGGACTCCTCCAGCAGCAAATATAGACCTCCTCCTCTCCGAATTGTACCTCGCTGCCTGTCTCTCTGTAGCAGGAACGTATCATTGGCCCCCACCACACGTACCTGCAGCCTTTCAGAGAGGATGGCCACCAGCAAGTCCTCGGGCAGCACGCAGCTCATAAAGCCCAGCTCTCCCGCTGTGCTGCCACTGATGCTCAGCCATCGCTGCGCAGGAACGCAGGGAAGCGGGGGGATGAGATGAGAACTGGATGAGCCCTGCAACATTGAGCACCACAAGAAAAATAAAACACTTCGGAAACTCCCGAACAATTCCAACTGCTGGGCTTGGAGCTGGGGTTTCTCACTAGCGGGAGACTAGAACAAAACCAGAGGACAGCTCCTGGGGACAACCCTGGAGGGCACATCCCTTGGCCAGCAGAGACCCAAGCTTGCAAGCCCCCGGCGCAGCATCCCGCAGCTTTGCCCACTGCTTGCAGCCACGTTAGCCAGGACTGCACTTTGCCAACAAACCGTTAAGACTCAGCAGAGTTTTTCTGCCAGAGCACAGGGTCTCTCGTTCCCAGCCCGAGCCATGCCCAGCCTGCCCAGCTGGCTCTCTGCACTATATACCCCCCGCACCAGGCTCTGGGTGACACGGAGCCTCCACTGTAAGCAGCCCCTTCACTTCTCAAAGGCAACAGAAAGGTCCCAGGCGTTAACCAGTGCAGGTCATGCTTCACCTGGGAGCCTGTCGGATCCGTTAGATGCTGTTTCTGGGATTGGCTATCCGTCTTCCTCTTGCCCGCTGCGGCGCTCGCCCGACCTCGGGAACTGACGGACTGCAGGCTGACTTTGTCCCCGGAGCTGGACTGGCTCACGTCTGGGCTGTGCTTTGCCTCGGAGCTGAACTGCAGGCTGAGGGAGACCTCTGCGTTTTGACCTGCGGAGGGGACAGACGGCTCAGCAGGGCTGGTGACGGGCGCCGCGGGGAGCAAGCAGGCACCTGCCACCCCAACGGGCACAGCCCTGCGCCCTGGTAGGGACACAGCACTCGTCCCCCAGCCTGCCGGGCACTAGCAGCACTGCTCTCCAGAAGCAGCTCCTTCCCTGCTTCTCTTATTAGCATGATAAAGCACACCATCTGATACTGGATTTTAAAGCCAGGGAGTTTTTAATGCACAGCCCGGTGTCCCTCCTAACAAACGTGCACGCGGGTGACGCTGTTTGCACAGTAGCTCCCCTATGGATCAAGCCAAGGATTCGTCATCCAGGACCATCGTCTCCATACCTTGCACCCATCCTGCATTTTCACATGGAGACTGTAACATGCAGCCCTGCCCCAGCTGCATCACCCATCTCCACTGGAGCTAAATCCTCCGCGTGGGATAACCCCACCCAGGACCCAGGCTCTTCTTCCCTCCACCAGCTCCCAACCCAACCAGCTTCAAAGCCGAGCGATGCAAAACTTCCCCCACCAGAGCCAGGGTCCGGCCTCACCCTGCAGAGCTCGGGGCACCAGCTGCCCAATAAAGTTTCCTAAAAGTCTCCAGTCTCACGTGGAGAACAGCACAACATGCACGAGCTGTGTGACCTGACAGCGTGTATAGGAAAAATCTCCGGAGAGAAGAGCTCATCTGCAGTGTGTCTCTCATCTGAGAGACCTCCCCCGGGAGGTTATTCTTCCCTTCCTCTCATGTTTGTGAAGCTACACTCAAAGTCAGTTGTCTAGTGCTTAATGAGCCACTTCAGAGGGCTTTTTCCTTGTTAAAGTGGGCAGCAGTTCTGCCTGATGGCCATGAGGAGCAAGCTGGATTCAGCTTTGAGGAAATATAAAAAACTCGGACAAAGATACAGGTGTGCTTCATTGCTCCTAGGAAAAGGAACATGTGCCCAGAAGCCCAGGGGCAGTAAAAGTGCCGCTGTCTGAGCCCTTAAAATAGAGTTTTTTGTTGTTTTTTTTTTTTTTAGTAACCAGAGATGCTTTATGAAATGGCTTTGCATTTCTACATGCTGCACCCATGTTCCCTAAGAGATCCAAGGGCTGTCAAACTTCTCTGGAGCAAGCAGAACTGGATGGTCGTGGTGGGTTTCCGAAGCGCTGCTCTGGGTTCAGCGTTTCTCCTTACCGGCATCCTCTGTCTCCTTGTGGCTCTGCTCGATGGCAGCCCTGATGCACAGCTCCCGGGCGCGGAGCCCTGACAAGCTGCTCCTGTCCGAGATGGCTTCTGTCACCACGGCGTCGATGGACAAGCAGGCAGCGCCGTAGTATTTGGACAGGGCAACCGCTGCCAACGTCTTGCCTTGAGAGAGAGGAAGACTGCTTGGTGACACTTGCATGTGAGGCATTTTCAGGGATGGGCTCTGGAAAGCCCCCGAACGGGATTTCAAAGTTTCAAGGATGGTCAGAAAGCAAAGTGCTGCTTTAGGGGAAACCACGAGGGAGGCAGCTCGAGCGTGCTTAGAAGTGTTGTCCTCTAGAGCCAGGTGGACCATCTCCACTTCATGTTCAGCTGAGGACTTCGACCCTTGTGGGGACCTCAACCCTGGGCCAGGGTTTCGAGCCCTGTCCCACCACCATTCAGACCGTTTGCTAGCCTGTGCTGCTCAGCGCTGTCTCAGGCAACATCTGGGCACGGTTTGGGGGTCAGTATGGGCTAGGGACTGCTCCCACAAGGCAACGTGGACACTAGGCAGTGTGGTCCCACAAGGCAACGGGGACACGGCCACTCTTTGAGGGAACGAGAGCCTAGCTGTATGGACACAAGGTGAGCCATGCCACTTGTACCAGCTAGGCGAAGGCCTGGGACTGTTTCATGTACCAGCAGCGCTGTGGCTTACCTCGCTTCGCTTCAACCGATCAACCAAGCACCATGGCCCACCAGGATATCTCTCTCCTGCTTTCCCCACCTCCTCGCAGCCAAGGGCTGCGGCTCACGTACCTGTCAGGGGTGCCCCGTGGACGATGACGACGATCCCTCTGCGGTTTCGGGCTGCGCGCCCTTCCGCAGAGATATCGATGCCAAGGTGGCGGGCGATGGCCTTATAGACAGGGCTGTCGTCCAGTTCTCCCGCGGCCTCCTTGCTGCTAGCGGTGCTTTGCCGATGCTCTGCTGTGCAGAACCGGGTACAAAAGTCAGCCTCCTGCCTACCTGTGATCCTGATCGTCCTCCCCATCCCCTCAGATCCTGGGAGAGGAGACTCTGCTGAAACCAACATCATGCTCAGGGTCTCCCCATGCCCTTCCTTTAGGCTTGTGCAGATCAGGGTCTCCCCTAGATGCTGGTAAAGGTTCCTGTTCAGATGATAGTAAATGGGGTGGCAGAAAGAGGAAAGAACAAGCGTCCGGCAATACCTAAAAGGACTGGGCCAAGGCTCCTTCCATGAGCTGTCAACATGGTCCTCATGGGAGTTTGGTCCCGGGTCCTGCTGAGTGAGTCGGGGACATGCAGAACTGGGCATTTTACACAGTCCCAGGGGAGAGGCTCCATTTGGGGGTTAAGCAATTATCCGAAAGCCGGATGCTTTAGGAATATTATACCAGGAGATCTGGCTGGGCTCTGAATTCACCGTAACAGCATTTACAAAGAGCTCCCACCTTTGCCCTTAGAAGGTCACCGAAAGCCATCTTGGCTTGCGATGTCACATAGGACAAAGAGTGTGCTGCCTAGGGAAGGGAACAACACCATCCTGATCCCAGCAGCTCCTGGCAGCAAAGGTGCTCATTTGGCAAAGCTGGGGAAAACCTCTCCGGCCTCTCACTTGTCCCTGCCCCAGACTCTTCTCAGAATCCTACAGACTTCATAGGCAAGTGTGGGTTCAGGGCCTACAGGAGTGAAGATGGCACCAGGCTGCAGTGAAGTGATGGAGGCGACACTGAAGTCATCCGCTGAGGCCCTCTTGCCACAACAGACATAAAATAGGTGAAGAGCTTAGGGTTATTACCTGTCCCGTGTCTTTTCTCAGCACCTTCCTCCTCCTCTTCTCCACATTCAGATTTAGAGTCCACCTTGTTGGACTGGCTTTCATCAAAAATGGAGGAGGGAACGATTGAGCTATGGGATGAGGTGGTGTGAACGATCCCAGCAGAGTGCTTTCCTCCTTGATCCGACAAAGACTGGACGTCTTCAGAGTTTGCTGAGGAGGAAGGACGTGGGGAGGGAAGAAGAGGGTGAACACGGCCAGACAATCTGCTCTTTGCCATTCGCCCCTTTGCATGGCCGCGTGCAAAAGATGGAAAATTTCCCAAGGAGGGAAACTCCCAAGGCACTGAGAAGCCTGTTGTTGTGGTTTAACCCGGCAGGCAGCTGAACACCACACAGCCCTTCGCTCACTCCCCCCCCAAGTGGGATGGGGGAGAGGATCGGGGGGTGGGGGAGAGAATAAAATTCATGGGTTGAGATAAAGACAGTTTAACAGGACAGAAAAGGGAGAGGAAATAATAATAATAATAAATAACAATAATATTATAATATACAAAGCAAGTGATGCACAATGCAACTGCTCAGCACCTGCCGACCGATGCCCAGCCAGTTCCCCAAGCAGCGGTCACCCCCCCACAGCCACCTCCCCCCAGTTTCTATACTGAGTGTGACGTCCCATGGTATGGAATAGCCCTTTGGCCAGTTGGGGTCAGCTGTCCTGGCTGTGCCCCCTCCCGGCTTCTCGCTGGCAGGGCATGAGAAGCTGCAAAGTCCTTGACTTAGTATAAACACTGCTCAGCAACAACTAAAACATCAGTTATCACATTATTCTCATGCTAAATCCAAAACACAGCGCTGTACTGGCTCCTAGGAAGAAAATGAACTCTATCCCAGCTGAAACCAGGACGACTGTCCAGGCTGCCTCTGCCCTCAGGGGAATTTTGAGCTTGTGCTTTTGTTGCTGAGAAGGAGCAACTACAAAATAGCTAGTGATATTAGAGCTGGTTCTACTGGCTGAAAAACTCATCCAGTCCTACTCTTTGTGGTTGACGGACACAAGGGGATATCCTGATTATTTCCCCAGTCCACGGTAGGCAGATATGAGCTTGCTTTGGCTGCACTCAAGGCTGCTAGAGGATGCGTGTTACAAGCCACAGACTTTCACCCTGGAGTTCCTCCAAGAAGCTGAGGAACGGGCGGCTGCTAAAAGCATGGGCTTTCCACGGAGAATGAGATCACGGAGAGCTCAGGGTAGCTGGGCTGGACTCCCTGCTGTGTCCACACTCAGGACAGCCAGTGCCAAACCCTCACCGTTGTCCCGGCCTGCCGGTTCCCCAGTCTTGGACTTTGCCTGCTCATCCTGCAGCCTTTTCTGCTCCTGATAATACTCCAGCACCTCTGGGGGCAGCTTCTCACCCGGGGCACGCGGAGGCAGCAATAAGGTGTTGCGGCAATCGTAGTCCTTCAGCATCCGCAGGATCTGGGCGCGTAGGGAAGAGAAGCCACATACAGGACGCATTTCTTGACCTCCATCACATGAACAGACTCCCCAGCCAAACCTATCTTCTCCCTCATTCCTTCCTCCCAACAACACGGACCATCCAAGCCCCTCCACAGCCTGCCAGCAAAGCTGGCTAACCCTGAAATGCCACCAGGCTTTGCCCTGGGGACTGCCTCCATCTCCCCGGCACAAGCCTGGGAACGCTGGAGCACTGTGAAGCTCCGGGAGCGTGCACGTGGGGACCAGACCTTCCCTCTCACCTGCTCCTCAGCAAGGTACTGCTGGTCGAACTCCAGCGAGTAAAACTCAATGGGGAACTCGCAGGGGTTCTTCACCACCACTGTCCCCTCCGCCCCATGGCTGTACGGCAGCAACGGTCCCAGCTCGAGCACTGGGGGGCTGAACTCCAGCCGCGGCTCCAGCCCACGCCCTGAGACCTGCAGCTGGAGATGCTGGCTGCTCTGGCAAATGTTAATCTTCAGCTCACTTTTGTAGGACTTCTGAAAGAGAGAAGTGCAGAAAGCTCCTCCATGAAGACCCAGGTGACAGGGCCTCAAATTCAACCCTTGCCCCAAGGTCAGGGATGTTACCAGTACCTTTAAGGTCAACAGAAAACAGATATTAACTTATAGCAGGGGCTACAGCACCTGCATGCTGGCTCTGAGTAACTGGGATGAATCCTGGTGTGAAGTGTAACTAGATATTTAGGTATCAGAAGGATTTAAAATGGACTATCAGATGTTTTCACTTAGTTATGAGGGAGCGCAACGCTCATAAGAAAGGTTCTCATGGGTGGACTCAGCTCCCACAGGACTCAGGGGCTGCTTCACCTCCTTCTTCAGGGTTATGCTGCCCAGACACAGTCCTGGCACTGCTGCATCAGGCAAACATCAGCTATACAAAAGAGGCAGATGAGTTCTCACTGGCTAGAAATAAGTGTCTTCCTCTCTGCTCAGTGCTTGGCTCTGGTGAAAGCCAGGGATGAGATGGTTACATCTCTGCTGGCAATTAAAACATCCCCGGGACCGTTCCTAGGCGTGGAAGCCCTTGTCTCCATACTGTTACACACTGCCAGTTTCCGAGTCACGGCGGCCACATGCAAACTGCCTTTGAGAACGCTCCGCCGTTTATCCTGACTCCCAAACTGCCTGGGAACGTGCAGGCAGGCTGGGCCAGAGCCACAGAGACTGCTGGCAGCACACCACTACAGGAGGCTGTCCTGCCGTGCCCAGGAAGGTGCCTGGCGGCTCTTTTGTCTGCTGGTACCAGCAGCAGGATTAGCCTAGATCGGCCCTTCCAGGGTGATCCCCGGCGAGCGGGCCAGCTGCTCCGCACAAGGCTGTTGCAGCCTGCAAATAGGCCCACACAAGGGGGAAGACGAGGGGAAACAGGCAGATTTCCCCCCACGCGCCGAGGGAGCCACACCGCAGCGCCCTGATGCTCTCTGTGCAAGCTCCCCGTGGGGATTTCAAGGCGCCTCTCAAAAGAGTGTGCTGCTGCAGGGGAAACTGAGGCACAGTGGGTACGGGGCCTGCAGAAAGCTCCACGTGGAGGTAGACCTCATCTCCTGCTCCCTGCGCCGGGCTCTCACTACCACACTGCCCTGCCAGACCTCCTGGGGGTGACACCCGCTGATCTCACCTCTTCCATGGGCGAAAACCTGACTCGCACGTTGCATCGTTGTCCTGGAGTGAGGGCTCCAGCTGAGGGCAGCGCCTCAAAGACACAGGGCTTGGCCTTCAACTCCTGGAGCAGCTTCCGACGCATGCTTGCTGGCAAATGTTTGTCCACCTGAGCACAGAAACCAATCGTGTGAGGTCTCCTTGGTCTGCAAGGACAGACCCTCGGCTCCTGCAGTGCTCTGAGATACTGTCACGGTGCCGAGGGCACCCACATCCAAACCAGCCACAGCCACCACTGGCCAAGAACCGGAGGGAAGACATATAGGCAGGGCAGGCAGATGGGGAGGCAGTGTCCTTGGAGGAGGAGGAATGGGTGAAGATGGCAGAGAAGTGAAGCATCAGCCAGTGAACAGGTTCAGGTGAACCAGCCTTGCTCTGTACCCTCAAAAGCTTCCTCCCACGAGCTATAGCCCAACTGCTCAGGCAGCCGTAGGGGCAGAAAAGGCATGAGAGGCAAAGAACACCCAACCAAGAAAGTGTGCGTTACACATTGTCCGTGCTTTACCTTCTTAACAGGCTCATTCATGGTGATGAACCATTTACAGGCGACCTGGAGCTGATTGTGGAGCTGGACAGTTTCTTCCTGGCACTGCCCACACTGGACAGCGGAGAACTCCAGTCTGTCCCTGGAGAGGCGGAGGGACGGCACAGTCACGTTGGCACGGAGGTGGACGTGAAACGTGGGGCCTCCTGCTACCTAGTGAAGGACAGAGCATCCAGCTGAGAGTCCAAGTGACGTCTGCTGCTGTCCTCGACCTGCCCCTGCCCCAAAAGATGCTGCGGGCACAGGGAGGTGAGGGACCATGCGGTACCTTGATGGGCAGGAGCACGTCCACCTCTCCCAGCGGCAGGTTGGCACTTTGTGGGTCGAAGCGCACTTCGAACGTCTCTGTCTCGCAGTAGGGCAGGTGCTTCACGCGGTCCAGCTCCACGCTGAAACCTTGAACAGATGGAAATAAAGCAGCTGAGACACTCAAGCGATACAAAACGTGTCACAAGCACGTTAAGGCCATACGGGTGCCCTGGCTGGCAGCTCTGTGAAGGACCCCTTTGCACCCTTTGCATCTCCGGAGACCCCTGCCACTCTTTCTTCCTTGTCACCGCACAAGGAGGAAGGGTTTTCACAGCCAGAATCCAAGACCCGCATGGTAAAAAGGAAACACATCAGTTGAGGAGCTCCAGCAATTCCTTCCTCAGGCATCCCAGGGAAGGATGCACAGACCTTTCCAAAGGAGAATTTCTAACTATGATTCCCCCATGCCGTGGTGTTCCCTGGAAAACAACTTTGAGGAGACACCTGACCATTCCTCAGACACAGCAAGTCACCGTTTGATGGCACTGCAGCCTTACCTCAAGGCCTGTTTTGGAAAGCTATTTCGATACAACAGAGGACCTCACAGGCTGTTTTCTCAATAGAGGCAGAACAGAAGTGCTATGACATTACGAACGCTAAACAAAGCGCTCCCAAACCACCGAGTCCATCTGTTTGCAACACAAGCCCACAGAGCGCACAAAGAAACTCCGGTAACGCTCATGGTAGCCAAGAGCAGAAGAGGCTGAGAGATGACCACGGCGATCAGCCCATCTAGCCCCTGCAATGAAGTGTTAGGGCAGTCACAGGCAGGCCAGGTCTCTGGGCACTGCTGGCCAGGAGAACTCAGGCTCTAAAGCACCGAGCAGGGGGTACTAAGGAGGAAAAAGCTATACAAACAAGCACTCAGAAAAACTCCCCATGTCCAGCGGCTTAAGTTAATTTGCCAGAGACGGCTCCTTCAAGCCCACGTGAAGTCTCTCCAGCACTGGTTACCTGTGTCACACAGGACCCGTCCATCGGCGTGGAAGGACACAGGGAACTGCCCGGTGTTGGTGATCTTCACGATGTGCGTGTGGATGTTACCGAGAATGACGTAGCCAAAGTCCAGGACGTACTCGGGCAGCTCAGCTCTGAAAGGAGGAGTAAGGAGAGTCCTTAAACCACAGCCTGGCTACGTTTCCAAGTGGATGGAACATGCAAATAAAGTGGGTATTTCTGTATTCGCTGCTGTAAAAACTCACCTCTAGCCAGTGAAACCCAAGGCCTGACCACCTGGCAATAAGTCTTTGGTAAGCCACAGGGAGTACAGGTCCTAGGTTTTATTAGCTACCAATAGGACCTTAACATAAAATTATTTTGCACTGCTCTGCAACCAGATGTGTCCCCAAAGGAGCACCGGTAACGCAGTAATCAACACCTACAAGATTCACGGGAAGGTCCTTTTCCAGAGCAATCCCACTCGGGAAAACACATAAATGATCTGTTTTGCAGAGCATCTTCTTCCTGAATTGGAGCCTACGGTGCCCATCCCTCATCATGAAGGAGCAAAAGGAAGGACCAAGTTACCTAGGTAAGCCCTGCAGTCCCACCAGCATGCAAGCCACCTGATTTAGGGTTTGTCAAGCTAATACCTATGCTCTTTTTGCTTAGCGTGATCCGTTTGTTGGAAAAAATACGCCAGCTTTGAGTTGTCTCTTTCAGAGCTGGTCAGCAGGGATGGTGTCCGTGCTGTCTGGATGGGCTTGATGGTCTGCACTGGAACCCCTCAGCTCTAAGAACAGAACCCATCATCCGTGGGGAGTTGAGCACCTCCAAAGCTCAGGGTGGCACTGTGGAGGTGAGGACATTCGGCTGCTCACAGGGAGCATGTCAAAACTATCAGGATCAGACCCTTTCTGAAGTCCCCAGCTATTCCCAGCTCTGCAGACACAAGGAGCTCTCGGGAGCAGGGGTGCGCCGCTGGGTGTTACCCTTAGGGTGCCTGGAGATAGGGTACGGGAGTCCCCACTAACTTGAGAAGCCTCCGACGAGCACGCTGGTCAAAGGCAGTGTCCTCTGGGGGACCGGAGGAGAGAGCTTTCTGCTGCTCCAGGGCATGTTCCTCTATCAGCATCTGCTCCATCTGCATCTGCAACCGAGTGTCAAACTGAGGAAAGCAAAGACGGTGGCTGGTTAGCAAAGGTCCTTCCAAGGGACAGGCTTGTCTCGGAAAGAGGATCCCACCCTGCTCTTGTTGAGACAGGTGATGGGGTCCTCCTGTCTTGCTGCTCGGTGTCTGTGACACCTCCTGCTCTCTTAACCAGGACCTTATCTGAAGGGAAATGAACTCCAGCATCTTCGCCTGCCCAGTCACTGTTATAAAAGCTGATCTGGCCAGACAAACAAGCCAGGAACCTTCCAGTGCTCCAAGTATTTGCCTGCCCCCAGCCACTGCCAAAGCAGCTTGGACAAAAGCGCTCTCCAAAAGGGAGCCACGATAGAGCGGGTGCCTCTTGGAGATGAACACTGACAGCATGGTCCAGGGCGCAGTCAGGCTGCTGCTATTAAGCTCTGTAAACCTGGCAGGGCTTGGGTTGTGAGCAACGAACACCCCAGCGATGACCTGCGTTTCCATCAAAGTACCATAAATCCAATCACTTGAGCATGGTCTTCAGGATCTCTCCGTGGGGTAGTCAGGAAGCTGGTGCATCTACGGGAGGGACAACTACCAGAGGTGGGCAGCCCCCTGGGGCAACGCTGAACTGACGCATGGTCATGGCCAGGTGCGGGCAGGGAGGTCCCAAGTGCAGCAGGGCACCGGGAAGCCTGCTGTGGGGTGCAAGGGGCCCAAGTGACACAGTGGGAGGGTGGCACGTGCCAAACGGGACAGCAGCCGTTCTCACCACGGTGCCAGAGTCATCCGTGGGTGGCTCTGCGGCTGCAGCCTCCCCCAGAAAAACTGCTTCATCTCTCTGGCTGTCTTTTTCCATCTTCTCTTTTGCCTCTTTGAGGATCTTCTCATATTTTTCGTTTCCTGCAAGAAGAAAACATCCACAAATGGAAGTGTGGGCACAGCGCCATTCCCCTTTAAGCTGGGAAGCCCCACTCCCCTGACGCTGGCCTCTCCCAGAAACAAACCCCTCAACCAATGTATGAAAAGTGGATGCTACTTTTCCTCTATGAATCCTGGTGTTCACTCCCACCCATCTACTCCCCGCACAGGAGCGTCTCGTCCCCTGCAACATGATGCAAATCCAACCCTGCCAACATCCCTGCCAGCCTGCGTTACAGCTTTCCCGAGCATTTCTGTCTAACCATCATCTTTCCAGGCCACCAACAGATACACTGGCAAGCTCTGCAGGATGGTTCCTGGGGCAAAGCCCACATGGGCTTCTAGAGACTCAGGAAGCAAACAGAGGGCTGAGTGTTGGTCTGACAGCCCTGAAGCCTCCAGGCTTGGTGGAGGTGGGTGTGAGCTGCCCTATGGGCATATGACGTGAGGGAAAAACCAGGGGACCTTCCTGGGGAGCAGACAGGCAGCACTCACCTTTGATGTTCCTGGGAAGGTCCAAGTAGATCCTGGGGAAGCTCCCCTCTCCTTTCAGGGAGATCTCTTCTGGCTCCAGGTGACCCACTTGGATCTGGAAAGTCCTGCAGAAGACTCCAGGCACTCCCGGCAGGTAATAGACTTTGAGGACTTGCTCCTTGCCAGGTCCAACGTAACCCTGCAGGGCGTGGGAGAGGAGGGAGGGGACGCAACCAAAGAGAGCTTGGTGGAGGGATGGCTCAGACAACAGGCACGCTGAGAAGAGAAGGCAGGTTCTCAAAGATAAGAAAGTATCAGACAACATCGCCTTCTAGCCTTCTTGGATCCAAAAGCTCAAGTCTCCTACACCAGGATGCAGTATGTCCTTCAGAGGGCTCATAGGGATGCATTCCCACAGCACAGACTGCCCTTTGCTCAGCATGAGCGCAGCTCTTCTGCTAACGGTGTTTACCCTCTGCTAGCAAGAGCCAGACTGAATACACAAAAGCTCTTTTACCAGCCGCTATGGAAGATGAGTGAAGTGCCCGCGCTCTCAGCAGAGCCGGCAGCTCCTGTCACAGCACGTCAGTGGTTCCCAGGCTGGCGTCGAAGGGCCTGACCCCTTATTAATGACCCCAACCAAACACCTCCTATCTGTCCGGTTACACCGAGGGTGCACGAGCCTATCTGGACTCACGGTGACCTGCAAACATACGTTTCTGGAAAAGCAGGAGCTAAGACAAGATCCAGGGAAGGAGGTGTTGCCAGGAAGGTCACTTCCTCTCCGGGCTTCCAGAAGGGCTGTCTGAGCCCCGGGCTGGGCTCACGCCAGCCAGGTCAAGAGCAAATGCAAGCAACACGGCCTCTGGGTGACAGGACACAGCCGCAGCTTTCCTTGGCTCGCCCTCTGCACTCTGGGCTGGACCCTCGGCTCCCCGCTCCCCTCCACGGTGCAGGGAGAAGCTGCTGAGCGGGACAGATCCTGCCACTCAGTCCCCTGAGCCCTTACTCCAGCGCACAACTCAGCTGCAGTACAAGTGAGCCCTGCCAAACTGCCAGGGCCAGTGACGCTGTTACAGCAACTGACAGCACGGGTCCAAGCAGAGCTGTGTCTTCGGAAGCTCGCAGGAAGAGGGCATCAGTGCGTCATCCCTTCTAGGAGACAGGTACGAGGAAACGTGAAAGCCATTTGGCTTCCTCTTCCCATTGCAAAAAGGGACAAAGATAGGAACGCTGCTTCAGCTCGAAGACATCCATGCAGGACTGAGAAGCTGGGATGGTGGGATGCTGCAAACGTCTCTCCTTGCTATTCCAGCCCCGCTCCTCCCTCGCCCCCTCACTGCCCCACAAAGCTGCTGCAGAGCAGCAAAGCTGGAGGAGCGAGGGACCAATACAGGGGCTGTTACAATTTCTGGCAAAGGAGCTGCACACCCAAGCAAGAGAGTATTTAAGTCCTGCTTGGTGCTGGCAGGGGGCAGGCAGGGTTTGTTACAGGCAGGGACAAGGAGTAAGTCCTGTCCGATCACACAACCTGGGTAAGGTGACCCTCAGGAGAGCCTGCACCGCCCGGCTCCGGCGTCCGCACAACCAGAGAGCTCAGCAGCTGGGGCCCAGAGAGCTACCCAAGCACTCGCGCCTCCTGCCAGCGGTTGCTGTATGACAGCAGAGCCACCCGCCGGCAAAGGCCACTAAGGGAGTCGATCAGGACCACGCTTGCTTGACCTCCTCTGCCCCCCGGGCAGCAATTGCTTACAGCCCTGTCTGTTTTTGTGGGTTTGTTCTTTTTTTTTTTTGTTCTTTTGTTCCCCCCCCCCATAACCCTCTCCTAGGCAGCCTGACACAGGGCCAGGGTTAATCACTTGTGCTACCTCCGTACTCACCGTGCTGGGCACGACCAGGGGCACGCCAGGCAGAGGGCTGTCTGCAGTGGCCGCGCTGGGGCTTAGCACCACGTAGGTAAATCCTACTTTCCCGCTGTTCTGCAGGGTGACCTCTGCTTCGGTGACTTCGTAAAACAGCTGAAGAGAGGACAGCGGAGCGGGAAGTTACAGACACAGATCTGCTGCTGGGAATTCTCCTTCCTCTTTCGTTGGGTTGAAAGCAAACGAACACAACCACAGAGGGACCACAGAGGAGATAAGGGCACTCGACTCTCCCGGGTTAACCTGGGGAACCCACAGCCAAAGGGTACCTCTTAGCCCTACACAGGAACAGATATTTGCGGCAGCACGCGGAGGCGCAATAATAACCACGTAAAGATCGGTAATAAACAAACCAGGGGCTACAAGCCCTCTGCACTTTAAGGTGTCATCCAACAGCTAGCTGAAACAAAGAAGGAAGCATCAAGGCATTTCAGAAGAAAAGGCACCCACATACAAGCATTTGCAAGCAAAATACAAGCCAAAAGGGAGACAAACAGTGCAACGCATACAGAGCCAACAGCTGGAAGTACCTGTGGGGTTTTTAACTGAAAAGAAGTAAAGCAGGGATTATTCTGGGACATTCTCTCCAGTTACAGTGACTGGAAGCCCAAGTTAACTTCCTCCCCTGGTTTGTTTTGTTGATTAATCAAGAGCATTGAAAAAGAGCATCTCCTTGGACCTCAGGCTTTAGGAGCGGATCGGAGGACGGATGTCTCAGGGCATGTCCTGATCTGGAGGTCACCGCTGGGACCCTGCCTGCCCCAGGAGGCAGCGTTAGCAACCCCGAAGAGGAGGAATTCCCAACTTTGGCGGGGGTGGGTGGAGGTGGCCATTAAAAACCAGCTTGGATGCAGGATGTATCACTCAAAGGTTGTACTTCCAAGCCATACAGCCAACAAAGTAGCTGGGAAGGGGAGAGAGCCCTAGACCTAGGTGGGCAGCAACCCACCAATGATGGTTTCAAGGACCTCTGCCGAGAGAAGTGCGTGGTACCTGCAGCCCGCAGTCGATCTCCGTGATGTCTAGGAGGTAGTTGATGAGCGAAGCCTCCCCGCTCAGCGCGATCTCGTAAGTCGGGCCTCCCTCCACCCTGCACAGCGCCACGACGTGGGCGACGATGTTTGCGTGGCCAAAGAAGGTGAACGTGACCCGCTGGCTCTCGCCCGGCCGCAGCACACCGTACAGCGGCAGGACATCAAAAACCTGGAGGTAAGGGAGGAGAGATCAAGATGTTGAGCATCAAAATTGATGCAGAAGAGCAGCCATGGCTTGGAGCAAAGGACAGACGTGGCTGGAGGGGCCTCTTCCTCAAACACAGGCAAAATCATCCTAATCTTGTCCTGCATCCATTACACTTTCCAGTGGAGGAACCATGGGAAAAATCTTCTCCCATACTCACTAATTAATGCATTAATTAATACACTACATTAAAGTAATTTGGGAGGTCTCCTGGCAGCAAGAAATTCTCTCCACTGCAGAATTTGCCTTTAAAAACCACCTTTTACTGCCTTAAGAAAAACACAGGACTCAGAAGCGAGAGCCCTTGGAGCCGGCGGGAGGACTCCAGGCCAGCTCAGCTGACGCCTGATGCTTTTCACTCTCTCTCCGATTTGCATGCTGCTCGCTCGCAAGATGCTACAGCAAAAGCCACCACAGAAATTTCCTAGTGACCACTGGATTAGTAACAAGATGGATAATGCCCTCCATAGGTGCTGCACAGGTAACGTCCTTGGTCAGCCCTACGACGTCCTGCCCGGCCTCTCCGACGACCAGTCGCTTCAGCAGTGCTGTGCGATGCGCTTGGAGGGGTGCCAGGCCACTCTGTGAGCAGCACCGAGGGCCACCAGTGGGAGTGGGGGCTACATAACTGCTTGCCACACTGGAAACGCAGAAGTGAGACAGATTCCCACTTACCTCCTCCACTCCCAAGGCGAGGGGCTCTGCCTCCATGAACTGCATCAATTCCTTGACCCTCACCGGGCTCCGAGTCTCCGCAGCACCTTCCAGCTCCGCAGCAGTGGATGGTAGCGGCTGGAAAACAAGCACCATGGGCTGCAGTAAGCAGCTGGCTGGTCTGGGTGAGACCACTCTGCTGCAGGCTCCACCACCTCATCTAGCCAGGAGCAGCTGAGATGGGACCCGGGTGCAAATCAAGTAGGGGTATGTCCATGCCAACAGTTGAGCGTGGGTCCAAGCCCACCCACAGGTGAGACGTGGGCTCCATCTGCACTTCCTGGCCTGTATCAGAACTAGTGTGGCCAGCAGGAGCAGGGAAGTGATCGTGCCCCTGTACTCGGCACTGGTGAGGCCGCACCTCGAATACTGTGTTCAGTTTTGGGCCCCTCACTGCAAGAAGGATGTTGAGATGTTGGAGCGTGTCCAGAGAAGGGCAACGAGGCTGGTGAGGGGTCTGGAGAACAAGTCTGATGAGGAGCGGCTGAGGGAGCTGGGGTTGTTCAGCCTGGAGAAAAGGAGGCTGAGGGGAGACCTCATCGCTCTCTACAACTACCTGAAAGGAGGTTGTGGCGAGGTGGGGGTCGGTCTCTTCTCCCAAGTAACTGGCGAAAGGACGAGAGGAAATGGCCTCAAGTTGCGCCAGGGGAGGTTTAGATTGGATGTGAGGAAAAATGTCTTTACTGAAAGAGTGGTTAAACATTGGCACAGGCTGCCCAGGGAAGTGGTGGAGTCACCATCCCTGGAGGTATTTAAAAGACGGGTAGATGAGGCGCTTAGGGACATGGTTTAGTGGGCACGGTGGTGTTGGGTTGACGGTTGGACTCGATGATCTTGGAGGTCTCTTCCAACCTTAATGATTCTATGATTCTATGATTCCGACACGCAAGCTTGCACGAGGAAGCTGGGTGCACCCGGCACCCACTCCTGGCAGAAACCTCAAAGGCATTTTGCACCCTCGAGCCAGCCCAGCTGCGCTCACTCCTGCCCAAGGAACACGCTGAGAATCCCATGCTTGGAGAGATTCGGTTTTCTGTGACAAAAATAGGAACACAGCTGCAAGCAAGACGTATCAAAACCAGGAAAATAAGGACTTAGAAAGCACTCGGCACAACTATCCCATTTCAGACGGTGCTTAGGTTTCATCTCATGCACTCATCAGTGGTGGAGAGCTGAGGATCTCTGCCGGGTCATTCTTCACCAACGGCACCTTCCTGAAGAAGGCAGCTGAGATGTTTTTCTGTCTTGCAGCAGCTCAGAGCTGGTATTTAACCTCAGAGGTGTCCTCTGTCAAAAGGAACCTCATCCCTGGGCTTCTAACCCCTATTTATAAACGAGGGCTTTCTGATTGCTCTTGAAGTTTAAGAATACCTGCTTCTTCGCTAAGGTGAAGAAATGCTTTGTGCTGTGGCCTTGACTTCAGCAGAATCTGCAAGAATATGTACCGGACATCCTTAGACCTAATCAGAGGCTACACCTCCCCAGTAGATAAAGCACTGGGGAGGGTAGAGCCTTCTCGCATTTCGATGCCCTTTCTGTCACCCCCACATTTTCAAACCCAGCAAAGCTTTGCCAAGCATATATTCCCAAAGATGCTAACCACACCTTTCCTAGGCCTGTGGTCTCCCACCTCCCCAGGGAGGTTATACGGATATCACCTTGATGCAGAGACACAAGCAGAAGATGAAACTGCAATCCAGAGGTATCCTTTGAAGCAATTTTGGATCCTACTTAGCCACGTCCACTTGAATTTCCCTGGTTTATTGGTGCATACATGGCAACAAAGCAGGAAATAAAGATGATTTCATGCTTCTATCCAAAAACATTCAGCCACGCTATTCTTTATGCCTACAGGGTACCATTCCTCCTGATTCAGAAAAAATGTGCAGCTATAACATTAAAACCGCCAGTATTTGGATGTGAGCAGGTGCAACCCCTTTCCTTGAACTTAATGCTAACGCTGGCACTTTCTGAACCTCTCGTGCTTTCTTACAACCTTTTTTTATTGCTCCAGGAGCAGCCTCTCTCCCACACGATGCAGAACAAGGCGCCAGTTCCCACTAGCACCGAGGTCAAGCTCCAAAGCACCGAGGTTCACCAGGAAGGTCAGAAGACCAAAAGCCATTTTCCATGCTAGGAGGAAGAGACAGCGACTTTGCAAAGCCTTGTTTTATAAAAGACGGCTCTGCGACCATCAGTGCAATACCGGGTCTCGGGTGAAGGCAGAGACATGAAAATGGGTGGCTCTAGCTGGGGTTGAGAAGGTGGTACATGGAGATCAGCACTTGGCACGGCTTGATACAGAGAGGGAAGAGGAAGCCTTCACATGATGCAGATAAAAGCCTCATTTTACATTGTTAAAGTAAAAAAAATAATCCCAAACTCCACATAGGTCCGTAGGATCTGAGTGGGCTTCTCCAAGCAAAACTATCCTATTTCTCACTCCCCAGAAGCCCCGTGTCCAGCTGCTGGCCCTGCTGCCTGGCCCGCTCTCAGGGCACGTGACAGCAGGGCAGCAAAAAGGGAGGTTGGCACGAGCGCGGCTTTTCGGTGGCAAGCTGGGGGAGGCAACGCAAGCGGCAGGTGTACAAGAAAATCTACCTTTGCTTCCAGGGAGTCATCTGCATCTGCTGGCTCTTGGGCAGGATCCCCTGTTGCTCCCAGGGCTTCGGCTGGCTCCGCTGCACCTCCATCCCCGGAGCTGCTCTCTGCAGACGCCGAGAGCTCTGACCAGGCTCCCTCTTCCTTCGGTGGTTGGGGTTTGATGAAAAATTTAGGTGCTGGAGGGCTGAACCTAGGAAATAACATAACGTTGATCATGGACCTGCAGTGGGAGGGAAGAAAGTCTGCACGAGCAGCTCCTCGGCAGGATGCGGCCCCTGGGTGGGCACTGGTGGTGTGAGCTCGGTGATGGGTCTGACCCAGGAGCTCCGAAACCAGGACGGAGCAGGTCAACTCTTGGGGCTGCCCAGGGACAACACGCCTCGCTGCTGGTACAGCAGCGGTGCAGGCAGCTGGCAACTGGTTGCAACAAGGAATGGAAGAAGACAGAGGTGAACGCCTTGTGGGGAGGCAAAAAGCGCAGCAGGAAAGGAAAAGACAGACACACTGTGCAAAAGGGTGAGACTGAGGCGCAAAGGGGCAGATCCGAACAGCGATGAGCCAGTACGGACCCACCAGTGCCCTCCTGAGAGCACCCACCGCCGCAGACCGTGCCCTCCCCACCCAGAGGGCCAAAGCGAGAAATTCTGCAGCTCTACTAGACCTTTATCCTGAATATTTCCCCTGACAATTACCCGCAGCCGTAGGTCAGTATAAGCAAGCGGCGATGCTGGTGGCTTTCTCTAAGCGGGATCAGGCGGGAGCAGGGATGGAGCCCGCAGCCTGCTGTGCCCTGACCCGACAGAGCCCAGCACAGCTCAGGGGCACCCACGGAGCCCAGCACGGGACACCCTCGCACACGCAAGGCCACCAGCAACACGGAAAGACACGCCGAACAATTCCAGGCGGAGACTCACAATTAAACAGCCCATTGATCCCTGATGAGCACCGAAGCAGCAGTGATTAGTACTTTGGGGAAGGAAGTTTCAGTCATTTTTAATCAATACACAGCAAACGTCGATGACAAGATTCAGGTCCCTGCTGTGCCGCAGGTGTTCCCCGGTTGCAAAACAACGGCTCTAACTGCACCTCGCGCTAAAAGGGCAGCAGCTCTGCTGAAACAAGGTTATAACTGATGTGGCACTTACCGACGGCGTCATTACCTCTCCAGCAGTTTCTAAACTCAAACCGTTTGAGGACCAATTTGGCAAATGATTCAGCAAAGCTGAAGTTTTTACCAAGAGAGCTGAGTTTATAGTTTGACCGACATCTGTCAGTAAAAAGTATATGGTTTAACATTTTCAGACATTCCCAGGTGACTCAGATTACGTTCCCTGTTTTGAATTGCAGCAGGTGCTCACGGTAACTCTGCCTGTATTTCTACCCTCGCGTGGAGGGACACCCCCGAACCACACCTGCCTGTCACCGTGCCTATTTGCGAGTGTTCCCCACAGGCAAACAAGGCAGATTTTTACAGCAACCTGGGTGCTTTATTCCCCGCTGGAAATTCAGTGCCTTTATCGATACGCTCCCAGATGAATATTTATCTTTAGCTTTGTAGCTTATTATCTAAGGCTGGTTTTCATTTCTGGATTAGAGGCTCTGCTCTTCATGACCTGAGAGGTCCCACCTGACTTGTCCTTCCTGCAACCGCACGCAAGAACAAGGCTTGGCCCAGGTGAGCTGCTCCGCAGCCCTCCCTCCGCCTGCTGCTGGGACCCCATGGGGACCCCAAGCGAGACCTCTGCAACCATCACTCCTCTCGGTCGAGGCACCTTAATATATGTGTCAGGGTGCACTGATGGGCGACCAAACTGCTCAACACCTCCAGCAGCCACTAACTCGGGCATCTGCATAAGGATGAAATAAATTCAGCTCAGCTGCGACAACGGTGCCTCTGGGCAGCCTGCAGCTGAACATTACTTCTCCTGGGTGATAAGGGAGATGCCTGCAGCATAGGGGTACAAATATCCAGGGCCAGGAGCACCTTGAAGCCCTCCAGCTACGCCCCAGTCCACACACCAATTCAGCGCACGAGTCCGGCCATCCTCACAGCGGCTGTCCCAAAACTGCTAGCTGCGATCCATCCTAGTGAGGAAATGAAAGCGCGGCTCTTGGAGCCACTTGTGATAAATACTGTGGGTTAATAACAACTCCTGAGGAGAGGTAAACCCCTGAGATGGAAAATCCATAATCATTTATTAAATTACCTTTAGTTTTATAGAATGGTTTGAGGCAACTTCATGGGATTGCAGTGCCTAGACAACAATATTTTTCACTCTAAAGTAGAAGCCCTCTGGGACCCGGTGCGGGGAGATGATGCGATTAGCGAGTCCTGCTGCAGAGAAGCACAAAGCACAGCGAGGGACTTTTTCCAGTGTGGGAAAGTCAAGATGAATAACAAGAAGCATAACATGAAAAGGAAGGGAGCGAGGAACCCAAGGTGTCAATAGAAAGCTGACCCCTGGGACGAGAAATCTTCCTGGCACTGAAGGAAAGGGAGTTGTCTTAGAAAAGGAGGAGGAAGGGAAAATAACAAGATGTTCAGCATCAGCCCAGGCTTCAGGCAGCTTTCTCTGATGTGAATTTGGGACTTTCTGGGCACCCTCCAGCACCTTCAGGCCAAGGTTGTGAACGCAGGGAGGAAGGCAAAGAGCAGAAAGCAGTTCCTCCACCTGCAGAGAGGACCCATCCCAAACCAGAGGGGCCAAAGGGCTGTGGAAGTGTCTCCACCAGCACCGTGGAGCTGAGACAAGGAGCCTCCTGACATAAGCAGGTCAGCCGGGAGCTGAAGGGGCTGAAAGCAAGGTCTTAACCCCTCTGGGTCAATCTCACCCAACCCAGCCACCCCTCGGATGAGACAAAAATGCATCCAGGAATTAACAGTGGGGATTTAATGGGAGCACAGGCAGACTGACATCAGGGAGAGAGGGGTCCTTCCTGCTAGGGCCAGGACAACCTTGTGCCACCCACCGTCCCCAACCCCTGAGACATTAGAAAAAAAATATCTCAGTCTGTCTCCTGGTTTCTGAGCCTGCTGGGGACACAGCTTCACACCGCTTCCCACACCCGCCTCCCAAAATAGAGGAGCTAGAAATCACACCGCTTCCGCAAACTACATGTGAAGATTCACGTGGGATGACGTGACCCTGCCGACTCAGGCTGTGTGAGAGCCGGCAACATCAGGACAGTCACCCCAAAATTGTAACGGGAATGCCCGAGGTCCCTGCAGCCCCTGCCAGTTAATACCAAGGGCATGTGCCAGAAGCCACCACCTCTTCGCATTACATGCAAGAGTGTTAACGGTGCTGAGACTGCTTCCCTAGTGCATGGTACCCACATCGGAGCATCCTTGCCCAGGCAAGGACCTGGGCACCCGTCCTCAAGGACCACCCGCTAGTGCACCCGTTAGGCACAGCCACGGCACCGGGTGAAAACAAGCCTCCCAACAAAGCACGAGCCCTTCTCAGGTTATCACAGGGCAAAGCACCGGAGACCGCATGTCCGTGAGGTATCTAAACAGGCTTACAGGCCCCTACGATGCACCTTTATTTCTCCTTCAGGCCAGCAGATGCGTATTAAACACTTTGGAGCAAGCCACAGACAGCTCAAGGGTGTTTGCAACTGAAAGCAAAATAATATAGAAGACAGGAGTAAACTGAAAACCTTCCCAGTGCACCATGTAGGAGCCCTGGGCTTGAGCTGGGCCACATGGCCAGCAGCTGAAGAAGGCCGTGGTGATGGTCTGCCCTCATCAATAGTGACTATTAAACTGCGTTTTGTCCAGATGGCCCTGAAGCCTATTTCTTTGCTAGGATAAATTCCTCTGCTAAACTAAGGTTTGCGTATTTATTGAACCACCCATTGGAATTCAGACCAGGCAGTGGAGAGACAGAGAAGAGAAGCAACGTTGCTGCGGGGAGATCTGGCACCTCCAGCTTCTGTCTTGCGCACGCTGGAAATTATTAAGCTGGATTCGGCGTTCATCTGAATGCAGCGAGCGGTCTTGGGGACATCCCACTGTGACCGAGTATTAATTAACTTGCAGTTAATATGCAGTTTTAATGGCCACTTACTTATTTGAGTCAAAAAAAATGTCACTTTCGAGAGATGAGGGAGAATTTTGATTTCTTGTTTGAAAGTAGAAATTGTGTAGGAGTGGATGCAGGGGTGCTACTACTGAAAAGAAGTGAAGTATCCCGTGCTCCTGGGGCCGTAACCAAAACTCTCCAGCACCCATCAAGCA